AAGACAATGCAATAAGACAATGCAATAAGACAATGCAATGAGACAATGCAATGAGACAATACAATAAGAGACAATGCAATGAGACAATGCAATGAGACAATGCAATGAGACAATGCAATGAGACAATACAATAAACACAATGCAATGAGACAATGCATGAGGACAATGCATGAGACAATGCAATGAGACAATACAATAAGACAATTCTATAAGACAATACAATAAAGACAATGCAATGAGACAATGCAATAAGACAATGCCATAAGGACAATGCATAAGACAATGCAATGAGACAATGCAATAAGACAATGCAATAAGACAATGCAATGAGACAATGGTATGAGACAATACAATAAGGACAATGCTAATAAGACAATGCAATAAGACAATACAATAAGACAATGCAATGAACAATGCAATGAGACAATGCAATGAGACAATGCAATAAGGACATGCAATGAGACAATGCAATGAGACAATGCAATAAGACAATGCAATGGAGACAATGCATAAGACAATGCAATGAGACAATGCAATGAGACAATGCAATAAGACATGCAATGCGACAATGCAATGAGACAATGCAATGAGACAGATGCAATGAGACAATGCTATAAGACAATGCAATAAGACAATTCTATAAGGACAAGTGCTATAAGACAATGCAATGAGACAATGCAATAAGACATGCAATAAGACAATGCAAATGAGATAATGCATGAGACAATGCAATAAAGACAAATGCAATGAGACAAATGCTATAAGACAATACAATGAGACAAATGCAATGAGACAATGCAATGAGACAATGCAATAAGAAAAATGCAATAAGACAATGCTATAAGACAATGCAATGAGACAATGCAATGAGACAATGCAATGAGACAATGCAATGAGACAATGCAATGAGACCATGCAATGAAACAATGCAGTGAGACAATGCAATAAGACAATGCAATAAAAAAATGAAATAAGACAATGCAATGAGAACAATGCAATAAGGCAATACAATGAGACAATGCAATAAGACAATGCAATGAGACCAATGCAATGAGACAATGCAATAAGACAATGCAATGAGACAATGCAATAAGACAATGCAATGAGACAATGCAATGGAGACAATACAATAAACACAATGCAATGAGACAATGCAATGAGAACAATGCAATGAGACAATGGCAATGAGACAATACATAAGACATGCTATAAGACAATACAATAAAGACAATGCAATGAGACAATGCAATAAGACAATGCCATAAGACAATGCAATAAGACAATGCAATGAGACAATGCAATAAGACAATGCAATAAGACAATGCAATGAGACAATGCTATGAGACAATACAATAAGACAATGCTATAAGACAATGCAATAAGACAATACAATAAGACAATGCAATGAGACAATGCAATGAGACAATGCAATAAGACAATGCAATGAGACAATGCAATGAGACAATGCAATAAGACAATGCAATGAGACAATGCAATGAGACAATGCAATAAGACAATGCAATGAGACAATGCAATAAGACAATGCAATGCGACAATGCAATGAGACAATGCAATGAGACAATGCAATGAGACAATGCTATAAGACAATGCAATAAGACAATTCTATAAGACAATGCTATAAGACAATGCAATGAGACAATGCAATAAGACAATGCAATAAGACAATGCAATGAGATAATGCAATGAGACAATGCAATGAGACAATGCAATAAGACAATGCAATGAGACAATGCTATAAGACAATACAATGAGACAATGCAATGAGACAATGCAATGAGACAATGCAATAAGACAATGCAATAAGACAATGCTATAAGACAATGCAATGAGACAATGCAATGAGACAATGCAATGAGACAATGCAATGAGACAATGCAATGAGACAATGCAATGAGACCATGCAATGAAACAATGCAGTGAGACAATGCAATAAGACAATGCAATAAAAAATGAAATAAGACAATGCAATGAGACAATGCAATGAGACAATGCAATAAGACAATGCAATGAGACAATGCAATGAGACAATGCAATTAGACAATGCAATAAGACAATGCAATGAGACAATGCAATGAGACAATGCAATGAGACAATGCAAGAAGACAATGCAATGAGACAATGCTATAAGACAATACAATGAGACAATGCAATGAGACAATGCAATGAGACAATGCAATGAGACAATGCAATAAGACAATGCAATAAGACAATGCAATAAGACAATACAATAAGACAATGCAATGAGACAATGCAATGAGACAATGCAATGAGACAATGCAATAAGACAATGCAATAAGACAATGCAATGAGACAATGCAATGAGACAATGCAATGAGACAATGCAAGAAGACAATGCAATGAGACAATGCTATAAGACAATACAATGAGACAATGCAATGAGACAATGCAATGAGACAATGCAATAAAACAATACAATACAACAATGCAATGAGACAATGCAATAAGACAATACAATAAGACACTACAATAAGACAATGCAATGAGACAATGCAATGAGACAATGCAATAAGACAATGCTATAAGACAACGCAATAAGGCAATGCTATAAGACAATGCAATAAGACAATGCTATAAGACAATACAATAAGACAATACAATAAGGACAATACAATAAAGACAATGCAATGAGACAATGCAATGAGACAATGCAATGAGACAATGCAATTAGACAATGCAATGAGACCATGCAATGAAACAATGCAATAAGACAATACAATAAAAATGCAATAAGACAATGTAATGAGACAATGCAATGAGACAATGCAATAAGACAATGCAATGAGACAATGCAATAAGACAATGCAATGAGACAATGCAATGAGACAATGCAATAAGACAATGCTATGAGACAATGCAATGAGACAATGCAATGAGACAATGCAATAAGACAATGCAATAAGACAATGCAATGAGATAATGCAATGAGACAATGCAATGAGACAATGCAATAAGACAATGCAATGAGACAATGCAATGAGACAATGCTATAAGACAATACAATGAGACAATGCAATAAGACAATGCAATGAGATAATGCAATAAGACAATGCAATGAGACAATGCTATAAGACAATACAATGAGACAATGCAATGAGACAATGCAATGAGACAATGCAATAAGACAATGCAATAAGACAATGCTATAAGACAATACAATACAACAATGCAATGAGACAATGCAATGAGACAATGCAATGAGACAATGCAATGAGACAATGCAATAAGACAATGCAATAATACAATGCTATAAGACAATACAATAAGACAATACAATAAGACAATGCAATGAGACAATGCAATGAGACAATGCAATAAGACAATGCTAAGACAATGCTATAAGACAATACAATAAGGACAATGCAATGAGACAATGCAATAAGACAATGCTATAAGACAATGCCATGAGACAATCCAATAAGACAATGCTATAAGACAATACAATAAGACAATGCTATAAGACAATACAATAAGACAATACAATAAGGACAATACAATAAGACAATACAATAAAGACAATGCAATGAGACAATGCAATGAGACAAAACGAGGACGGCGGGCTAGCGTCAAGCGAGCCGAGTCCGTGACCATTGTGAGGCGGTCCTCCTTCAAGGCGCTGGCACAGCAGTAGGGGGAGGAGGAGAGGTGGGGGGGGATGGGGAGGAGGGGGGCAGTAGTAGAAGGTGGGGAGGGAGTAGGGGGAGAGGGGAAGGGAGGGGGAGGGAGTAGGGGGAGGGAGGAGGGGGAAGGGAGTAGGGGGAGGGAGGAGGGGGGAGGGAGTAGGGGGAGGGGGGAGGCAGTAGGGGGGAGGGAGGAGGGGGAAGGGAGTAGGGGGAGGGAGGAGGGAGTAGGGGGGGGGAGGGAGTAGAAGGAGGGGGGTGGGAGTAGGGGGAGGGGGGAGGGAGTAGGGGGAGGGGGGAGGGGGAGGGAGGAGGGGGGAGGGAGTAGGGGGGGGAGTAGGGGAGGGAGTAGGGGAGGGGGAGGGAGTAGGGGAAGGGAGGGGGAGGGAGTAGGGGGAGGGAGGGGAGGGAGTAGGGGGAGGAGGCGTCAAAGCGAATGGCGGCGTTGCTGAGCACAAACGTCGCGACCTCCGATGGACAGAAAATGTGGCATCTGTGCGGGGCCGCCGTATTCCTGAAACCTCGCCCACTCAATGAGTCTCACTCACAGTCTCACAGTCTCACTCACAGTCTCACTCTCACACACTCTCACTCACTCACAGTCTCACAGTCTCACTCACAGTCTCACTCTCACACACTCTCACTCACTCACAGTCTCACAGACTCACTCACAGTCTCACTCTCACACACTCTCACTCACTCACAGTCTCACAGTCTCACTCACAGTCTCACTCTCACACACTCTCACTCACAGTCTCACAGTCTCACTCACAGTCTCACTCTCACACACTCTCACTCACAGTCTCACAGTCTCACTCACAGTCTCACTCTCACACACTCTCACTCACTCACAGTCTCACAGTCTCACTCACAGTCTCACTCTCACACACTCTCACTCACTCACAGTCTCACAGTCTCACTCACAGTCTCACTCTCACACACTCTCACTCACTCACAGTCTCACAGTCTCACTCACAGTCTCACTCTCACACACTCTCACTCACTCACATGCTCACAGTCTCACTCACAGTCTCACTCTCACACACTCTCACTCACTCACAGTCTCACAGTCTCACTCACAGTCTCACTCTCACACACTCTCACTCACAGTCTCACAGTCTCACTCACAGTCTCACACTCACACACTCTCACAGTCTCACAGTCTCACTCACAGTCTCACTCTCACACACTCTCACTCACTCACAGTCTCACAGTCTCACTCACAGTCTCACTCTCACACACTCTCACTCACTCACACACTCTCACTCACTCACAGTCTCACACCACCGCCACCACCACCACCGCGTGCAAGTGATCGTCAGACTAGAGGCGGAGTCTCACCTTCACTGAATGACAACTCCACCTCGATGAAGTTCTGGTCTGCAGTGGCCAGGCACCCACGTTGGGACTCTTCCCCCGTGTCCTCTGGGTCCTCGCTGGCTCCTTCCACCTTGATGATCCTCAGATCCGGAGCTGCGATCGACACAGACGCGGCGCGTCTCGCTGCCGTGACGAGCGGGGCGACGTGGCAGCGGAAGGCGTGTGCCTCCGAAGAAGGACCCCGGCGGGCCCATCGACACTCAGGGCCGCCGGGTCAAGGGGCGAGAGCCAGAAAGGGTAAAAACCCTTTCTGTATGCCAAGTTTGTAGTCCATACCACATCGGAAAGTGGGTTCAAATCGAGTTACAAGATTTGAGGATACAAGAACAACAGCGAGTTAAATGAAAGCGTGTAAAATGGCCATTATTCCACACAAACGTTGCCTCGTGTGGCGGAGTGCGTGCGGCGTACCCATTAGGCTGGAGAGAGGAACTTTGTCCTTTGTGCGGAGCCAGGAGCCACCACGGCGTGGTCAGACCGGCGTGGGGGGGGAGGGAATCTCAGACCATTTACAGTCGGACCTCACACGTGATTGCACCGCGGGCTAAACAATGGGCTGAAGAGCAGCACTATAAAAGGAGCACCCAAATCGGCAGCGTGGATGGGGGCAGTTTGGGCAGAGCTCAACGCGGAAGCAGCGACGGCGGTGGTGGCGGCGGCGTTTCTCCACCACCACCAACACCACCACCACCTCCACCACCACCACCAACACCACCACCACCACCACCACCCAGTAGTGGCTGGGCGACCTCCCGCCCTCAAGCAGCGACACGAGTGAGGACCAGGGGATCTTCACTCGGCCGACCTGGGGATTGAACCGGGGCAGGTGGGACTTCGGGGACGGAGCAAGTGGGGCATGACAGGAGCGGGAGGAGACTGTCGCCATCTGGTTCCCCCTGGGTGGCTGTGGACATCTCCCAACTGCTCCAAGAGGGGATAAGCTCGAGGCACGAGCTGACCACCGCGGGGGGTTAGCGGGCGAGGGGTGGAAACCCGAGCGAGGAACACGGGGGTCGTCTGTAAAGCAGAGTTGCGTGTGGGAGAGCCTTAGGAATGCTCAGTGTGATTGTATGCGTGTGGGTGACCCCTGTGTTGATTCTTATTCGTTCGATGGTCTTTGTGGTAGCCAGGCTATAAACTCCCCTGCTTGGGCTGGTCGGTGTCAGCTCGTGTAGAAATAAAAGCTGACATCACTAAACAGCCAGGGGTCTCCCGAGTGGACTAACGCCGGCTCGACGCAATGCACCCCAACCGTCAGCCCTCCGTGGATAGGCAACGTGACACCTTGGGGAACTTAACATTCAACTCTGGAATCATCTATACAAACTGTTGCTTCCATGCCACATAGAAGAGGAAGAAGATCTGGTCACTGCCACCCACTCGGAGGAGCCGGAGGCTGGTCAATGCCCAGGTGTAACTATGGCCGAGGGGCACCCCCAGTGGCTTATGTCCCTGTGCATTATTAGTCTGTTGCCAGTACAGGGGGGTGACGATTGCTACTGCTGCTGCTGCTGCTTCTGCTGCTGCTGCGCGTGATCCTAATCGAGTAACCCGCGGTGCAATTTCTCAAATGTGGGACACCGCGCCAGAGACACCGAGAGGCTGGGTTGAAGCCCTGGGTCCGGGTGTCCCTCTGCCTCGAGGAGGAGGTCCATGACAGCACCACCACCACCACCACCCCACCGACGGCGGCAGGGGACGGGTTTAGAGGCCTCACCGGTTGCTTCGGAGGCCGAGGCGTCTTCGCGTTTCACCACCAGCTGAGGACTCGTCCCAGGGCCTGGGCTCTGCTCTCGTTTGACGAGAGGCGGAGGCGGAGGAGTAAGCGGAGTAGTAAGCGGAGGGGGCTGCCTCTCCGCACCTCCCGCGTTGCCGCTCGCAGGGCTTTTAACGAGCCGGGCCAGAGCCCTCCTCGCCGCGTACTTCTTCTTCTGCTTGTACAGCTCCTTGTAGCAGTGAACGGCGCCGGCGAGCGTCCGGTTCACCTTGAAGCTGCGCTCCCTGTTGGGGTCGTCCTCCCTGAAGATGTCCATCGCCGCCTCCAGGTGAACGAACGCCTCCGACAGCCGCGCCGCGGTCAGCGTCCGCCTGGGCGGCCCCTCGGCGCCTCCCCCGCCCTCGTCGCCACCCTCCCCCGAGCGCTGCTGCAGCAGCTCCACGAGGTCGTCGTTGGACAGCTCGCCGCCGTGCGATTCCAGCAGCTCGGCGACGTCCCGCTCCTCGACGTTGTCGAGGCCGGCCGACCTCGCCAGCCCCACGATGTCCCGCAGGACCTCCGCCGCCGACGCCGACGCCGACGCCGCCGCCGACGCCTCCGCCGGGCCCGGGCCCGCGGGGCGGGCGACGACGCACCGGGGCCAGATCTTGAGCCACGCGGCGTTCACGTCCGACGGCCTCACCTCCCGCCACGCCTCGGCGATGTTGTCGACCGCCGCCCTGATGTTGTAGCCGCGCCAGAAGTCCCGCGCCGAGCGCCGCCCGCCGGCGGTGTCCCCCGCGAGGCGGGCGAAGGTGCGCCGCAGGTAGTAGGCCTTGAAGGCGGCGACGACGCCCTGGTCCATGGGCTGCAGCAGGGCCGTGGTGCTGGGCGGCAGGAAGGCGACGCGGACGTTCTCCGACAGCTCCTCCAGGTTGACCGGGTGGGCCGGGGCGCTGTCCAGGACGAGCAGGGCCCTGTTCGGCAGGCCCCTGCGGCCGCAGTAGTCCGCGACGGCCGGGCAGAAGTGCGTCGCGAACCACTCCCGGAAGACCGTCGCGGTCACCCAGGCCCTCCTGTTGGAGCGCCACACGACGGGGAGGTGCTCCTTGGAGCACCCCTTGATGGCCCTCGGCGTCTCCGAGCGGTACACGAGCAGCGGCTTGAGCTTGAGGTCGCCCGAGGCGTTGGCGGCGAGCAGGAGGGCCAGGCGGTCCTTGGCCGCCTTGAAGCCCGGGGCGGTCTTCTCCTCGGCCGCGATCGAAGTCCTCGCCGGCATCCGCTTCCAGTACAGCTCCGTCTCGTCCACGTTGAACACCTGGCCCGGCACGTAGCCCCCCTCCTCGATGACGCCCCTCAGGACGTCGGGGTAGCCCGCCGCCGTGCCGGCGGCGGGCGACGCGGCCGACGGCGACGCCGCCGAAGCGGCGTCGCCGCCGCCGCCCGCGGCCTCGCCCGGCGGGCCGAGGCTCCCCAGGCCGCTGCGCTTCTTGAAGCGCTCGAACCACCCGCGGCTCGCGCCGAACGTCTCGCCGGCGCCGCCGCCGCCGCCGCCGCCGCCGCCGCTCATCTGCCGGAGGTCCTCGAAGAGGCTCCGCGCCTTCTCCTGGACGGCGGGCGCGCTCAGCGCCGCGCCCCGCTGGCTCTGGTCCTCGATCCAAACCCCGAGGAGCCTCTCCATGTTCTCGAGGACGGCCGAGCGGCTCCGGAAGATCTTGGTGGCGGTGAGCGGCGCCGCGTTCTGCGCCGACTCCAGGATCTTGCCCGCGTTCACGCAGATGGAGCGCGCCGAGCTGGCGGGCAGGCCGAGCGCCTGGGCGATCGCGGCCACCTTCTGCCCGGCCTCGAACCGCTTCACGACCTCCAGCTTCACCCCGAGGTTGATGCTCCTCCGCCGGCGTTTCTTGCCGGCGGCGGCGGCGGCGGCGTCGGCGGCGTGCATCGTTCCGGACGATCCTCTTTGCGCTCCGTGTGGTTCTTCAAAAGGTAACGACGGTGGCGACAGCGGGAGATCCGCATCGCCCGCTCGTGGGCGACGCGGGTTGGTAGGACGGAGGTGCGGTGGTGGCGGAGGAGGGGAGCCGGGCAGCGCTCGCACGGCGTTCACGTCGCAAAGCGCTCCCTTGACGACCGCGCTGGTTCCTACGTTCGAGAGGAAACAGCGGCGAGGGCAAAAAAGTGTTCGCCCGTTGTTGTACCACATCCACACAGTACTACGTCACTGCAGTGCACAGCACTGCATTACCACATCACCAAAGTACTACATTACCACATCACCACAGTACTACACCACTGCAGTACACAGCACTGCATTACCACATCACATAAACACAGTACTACATCACTGCAGTGCACAGCACTACATTACCACATCACCACAGTACTACATCACCACAGTACTACATCACTGCAGTGCACGGCACTACATTACCACAGTACTACATCACTGCAGTACACAGCACTACATTACCACATCACCACAGTACACATCACCATATCACCACAGTACACATCACCACATCACCACACACATCACTACATCGCCACACACATCCCTACAGTACAGTGGTACCCCGGAGATCGAACTTAATTCGTTCCAGAAGGCCATTCCAACGCCGAATTGTTCCAACACCGAATTAATTTTCCCCATAAGAATTAATGTAAATGACATTAATTAGTTCCAGACGCAATAAATCTCTCATTGTAAAGCATTTTTACGCGAGGTTTACAGTACTTACACGCACGCAATCGCACGAAAAAACCAACAAACACAAGAAAATAAATGGAATAAATACGTGTAACAAATGGCACAAACGAACACTGAACTTCAACTTTACCTGTGGCAAGGAGAGCTGGTGGCTTGAGTGGAAGGTGGCCAGGAGGAGGGATTAAGCCCTCGGCCTCCACCAACTCTTTAAATTCCCCAACAAATTTCTTGGAGCCTTCCGTATCGGCACCGGCACCCTCCGCGTGCCTTACGGCACTCTCAATGCCGCTTCTCTTTTTAAATTTATCAAACCAGCCTCGGCTAGCCTTGAACATTTCACCGGGACCTGGGTCGTCGCCCGTTCCTGGGGCCTTTTGGACGATGTCCGAATGCAACCTCTTGGCCTTCTCGCATATCACAGCCTCCGAAATGCCATCGCCCGCCAGCTGCGTTTCGTTGATCCAAAGCAGCAGCGATTTCTCAACCTCCTCGATTGCTTTCGTCCTTTGCTTCGACAGGGAGGACACTCCCTTGGCTACGTTGGCCCCCTTGATGGCTTCCTTATTTTTGAGCATGGTGCAGATGGTCGATTTCGGCATGCCGTACTGTTCGGATATCTCGGTGACGCGAACACCCCTCTCTGCCTTTGCAATGATCTCTTTTCTCAATTCTATCGTGGTTCTCACAACTTTCCTTTTCGGCTTCTCACTACCGCCGACCTTCTTGGGAGACATCGCGTGCGGATGAAACGCGCCCAAAACAAAACAAAAAAGACGTTAAAATACGGCGGGGCCCCGATTTACGATGCGCAGGGCTTGAGGCATTTCGATCTCTGCGATCGCTAGCGATACGCGACGAAGTGGCTGCCGCCCTGCGCGACGCCTCACCCTCACCAGCGGTCGACGGAGTCCGGTTGCCCGCAGATCATACGGGAGGGCTGAGAATTTACCTTGGATTTTTTTTTAAAGCTTGACATTTGACCGTGCAACACAGCATCGTAATTGACAAATACGTGCGGTCTGTCGTCCGTACAGTACGGTACTGTGAATTGGTCTGGTTTTTTTTTTGCTCAATTATCGCCGTCCTTTAAGGGCTCCTGGATAGGCGAGGACATCTTCGACTTACTGATACCTTTGACTTACGGTGGCGGTCGTCGGAACTTATCTCCTTGATCGTAAGTAGAGGACTCCCTGTAAAGGAAATTAACGAACACGTTAAGGGACGATGCTTTGCGGGTAACTGCACCGGGTGACAGCGACGCGTTAACCGAAGCCTCTCGCACGGCGAAACCTTTTTTTTTGTCTGGGCAAGCGTCGTGCACCCTGGGCCATGCGCGTCTCAGCTGTGTACAGGTTCCGTTGAACGTTCGACCTCCGAATTTCGTTCGGTTTCCGGGGCTAAAAATTGTTGGGGAATACTACAGTGGAGGAAAAAAAAGTATTTGATCCCCTGCTGATTTTGTACGTTTGCCCACTGACGAAGAAATTATCCGTCTATAATTTTAATGGTACAGTGAGGGGAAAAAGTATTTGATCCCCTGCTGATTTTGTACGTTTGCCCACTGACGAAGAAATGATCAGTCTATAATTTTAATGGTAGGTTTATTTGAACAGTGAGAGACAGAATAACAACAACAAAATCCAGAAAAACGCATGTCAAAAATGTTATAAATTGATTTGCATTTTAATGAAGGAAATAAGTATTTGACCCCTCTGCAAAACATGACTCAGTACTTGGTGGCAAAACCCTTGTTGGCAATCACAGAGGTCAGGCGTTTCTTGTAGTTGGCCACCAGGTTTGCACACATCTCAGGAAGGATTTTGTCCCACTCCTCTTTGCAGATCTTCTCCAAGTCATTAAGGTTTCAAGGCTGACGTTTGGCAACTCGAACCTTCAGCTCCCTCCACAGATTTTCCATGGGATTAAGGTCTGGAGACTGGCTAGGCCACTCCAGGACCTTAATGTGCTTCTTCTTGAGCCACTCCTTTGTTGCCTTGACCGTGTGTTTTGGGTCATTGTAATGCTGGAATACCCATTCACGACCCATTTGCAATGCCCTGGCCGAGGGAAGGAGGTTCTCACCCAAGATTTGACGGTACATGGCCCCGTCCATCGTCCCTTTGATGCGGTGAAGTTGTCCTGTCCCCTCAGCAGAAAAACACCCCCAAAGCACAATGTTTCCACCTCCATGTTTGACGGTGGGGATGGTGTTCTTGGAGTCATAGGCAGCATTCCTCCTCCTCCAAACACGGCGAGTTGAGTTGATGCCAAAGAGCTCCATTTTGGTCTCATCTGACCACAACACTTTCACCCAGTTGTCCTCTGAATCATTCAGATGTTCATTGGCAAACTTCAGACGGGCATGTATATGTGCTTTCTTGAGCAGGGGGACATTGCGGGCGCTGCAGGATTTCAGTCCTTCACGGCGTAGTGTGTTACCAACTGTATTCTTGGTGACTATGGTCCCAGCTGCCTTGAGATCATTGACAAGTTCCTCCTGTGTAGTTCTGGGCTGATTCCTCACCGTTCTCCTGATCATTGCAACTCCACGAGGCGAGATCTTGCATGGAGCCCCAGGCCGAGGGAGATTGACAGTTCTTTTGTGTTTCTTCCATTTGCGAAAAATCGCACCAACTGTTGTCACCTTCTCACCAAGCTGCTTGGCAATGGTCTTGTAGCCCATTCCAGCCTTGTGTAGGTCTACAATCTTGTCCCTGACATCCTTGGAGAGATCTTTGGTCTTGGCCATGGTGGGGAGTTTGGAATCTGATTGATTGATTGCTTCTGTGGACAGGTGTATTTTATACAGGTAACAAGCTGTGATTAGCAGCACTCCCTTTAAGAGTGTGATCATAATCTCAGCTCGTTACCTGTATAAAAGACACCTGGGAGCCAGAAATCTTTCTGATTGAGAGGTGGTCAAATACCTATTTCCCTCATTAAAATGCAAATCAATTTATAACACTTTTGACATGCGTTTTTCTGGATTTTTTTGTTGTTATTCTGTATTACACTGTTCCAATAAACCTATCATTAAAATTAGACTGATCATTTCTTTGTCAGTGGGCAAACGTACAAAATCAACAGGGGATCAAATACTTTTTTCCCCTCACTGTAGGTTTATTTGACCGGTGAGAGACAGAATAACAACAAGAAAATCCAGAAAAGGCATGTCAACAATGTTATATTTGCATTTTAATGAGCGAAATAAGTATCACCACATCACCACACCACTACATCACCATCACCACATTACTACATCACCATCACCACATCACCAACACATCATCACCATCACCACCACATCACTACATCACCATCATCACTACATCACCATCATCATCACTACATCACCATCACCACATCACTACATTACTACATCACCATCACCACATCACCACCACATCACCATCACCACATCACTACATCATCACCAAATCACTACATCACTACTGTACTACATCACTACATCACCACACCACTACATCACCATCATCACTACATCACCACATCACTACATCACCACATCACTACATCACCATCGCATCACCATCACCACACTACATCACCATCATATCACCATCACCACCACATCACCATCACCACATCACTACATCACCATCACTACATCACCATCACCACACTACATCATCACTACATCACCATCATCACATCACCACACTACATCACCACATCACACTACATCACTATCACCACACTACATCACCATCATATCACCATCACCACCACATCACTACATCACCATCACCACACTACATCATCACTACATCACCATCATCACACTACATCACCACATCACACTACATCACCATCACCACATCACCATCACCACACTACATCACCATCACCACACTACATCACCATCACCACACTACATCACCACACTACATCACCATCACCACATCACCACCACATCACCACATCATATCACCACACACCACATCACATCACCACCACCACAATACATCACCACATTACACTACATCACATCACCACATCACCATCACCACGACATCACCACATCATCACCACACTACATCACCATCACCACATCACCATCACCACGACATCACCATCACCACACTACATCACATCACATCACCACACTACATCACCATCACCACCACACCACACACCACATCATCACCATCACCACATCACACACCATCACCACGACATCACCATCATCACCACATCACCATCACCACATCACCACCATCACCACGACATCACCATCATCACCACATCATCACCATCACCACATCACCATCACCACATCACCACCATCACCACGACATCACCATCATCACCACATCATCACCACCACCACAATACATCACCACATTACACTACATCACATCACCACATCACCATCACCACGACATCACCACATCATCACCACACTACATCACCATCACCACATCACCATCACCACGACATCACCATCACCACACTACATCACATCACCACACTACATCACCATCACCACCACACCACACACCACATCATCACCATCACCACATCACACACCATCACCACGACATCACCATCATCACCACATCACCATCACCACATCACCACCATCACCACGACATCACCATCATCACCACATCATCACCATCACCACATCACCATCACCACATCACCACCATCACCACGACATCACCATCATCACCACATCATCACCATCACCACATCACACACCATCACCACACTACATCACATCACATCACCACTACACCATCACCACACCATCACCACATCACCACGACATCACCACCATCACCACATCACCACCACATCACCACCATCACCACATCACCACCACATCACCACCATCACCACATCACCACCACATCACCACCATCACCACATCACCACCACATCACCACCATCACCACATCATCACCACATCACCACCATCACCACCACACCACATCACCATCACCACCACACCACATCACCACCATCACCACATCACCACCACATCACCACCATCACCACATCATCACCACATCACCACCATCACCACCACACCACATCACCATCACCACCACACCACATCACCACCATCACCACATCACCACCACATCACCACCATCACCACATCATCACCACATCACCACCATCACCACCACACCACATCACCATCACCACCATCACCACGACATCACCACCATCACCACATCATCACCACATCACCACCATCACCACGACATCTCTCACCGTGCCCTGCTGCTGCTGCTCTCGTGCTAAGCGAGCTACGGGGCGCGCGAGGCGCGTTAAGCGAAACGCGTTCTGGGCGACGGCGACGGGAGGGGAGGGGCAGGGATAGGGGGAGGGGTTACAGGGGGAGGGTTTACAGGGGGAGGGGTTACAGGGGGGGTGGGGGAGGGGTTACAGGGGGAGGGGTTACAGGGGGGTGGGGGAGGGGTTACAGGGGGAGGGGTTACAGGGGGGGTGGGGGAGGGGTTACAGGGGGAGGGGTGAGAGGGGGGAGGGGTGAGAGGGGGGGCGGGGTGAGAGGGGGGAGGGGTGAGAGGGAGAGCGGCAAGATGCGAGGTAATAAAAGGCGCTGACGCAAAACTCAGATTACCCCTCCACCAAACACACCACCCCATGCCCCCACCACCACCAAGAGGGAGTCACCCACACTTTACACCACCAAGAGGAGTGAGTCACCCACACTTTACCCTACCACCACCACCAAGAGGAGGGAGTCACCCACACTTTACCCCACCACCAAGAGGAGGGAGTCACCCACACTTTACCCCACCACCATCATCACGTGGCTGTGATTGCGATTCGCGTCTTGGCCGGCTTCTTGCCGCTCTCTTGTGAGAAGCGAGTCCAGTGCAGAGACACACACAGAGACACAGACACACAGAGAGACACAGAGACAGAGAGACACAGATACAGAGACATAGAGACAGAGAGACACAGAGACACACAGAGACACAGAGAGACACAGAGACACAGACACACACAGAGAGACAGATACACACAGATACACACAGAGAGACACAGAGACATAGAGACACAGAGAGACACAGAGAGACACAGAGACACAGAGACACAGAGACAGAGAGACACAGAGACACAGAGACAGAGAGACACAGATACACACAGAGACACACAGAGACACAGATACACACAGAGAGACACAGATACAGAGACATACAGAGACACACACAGAGACACAGATACACAGAGACACACACAGAGACACAGATACACAGAGACACACACAGAGACACAGAGGCACACAGAGAGACACAGAGACACAGAGACACACAGACACACAGAGACACACAGACACACAGAGACACAGATACAGAGACATACAGAGACACACACAGAGACACAGATACAGAGAGACACAGATACAGAGACACATACAGAGACACACAGAGACACATACAGAGAGACACACAGAGACAGAGAGACACACAGAGAGACACACAGAGAGACACAGAGAGACAGAGACGCACACAGAGACACACAGAGACAGAGAGACACATACAGAGACAGAGAGACACACAGAGACACACAGAGACACATACAGAGACAGAGAGACACAGAGACACACACAGAGACACAGAGACACACACAGAGACACAGAGAAACATACAGAGACAGAGAGACACATACAGAGACAGAGAGACACACACACAGAGACACATAGAGAGACACAGAGACACACACAGAGACACATACAGAGACAGAGAGACACATACAGAGACAGAGAGACACACACAGAGACACATAGAGAGACACAGAGACACATACAGAGACAGAGAGACACATACAGAGACAGAGACACACACAGAGACACACAGAGACACATACAGAGAGACACAGAGACATACAGAGACACACAGAGACACACACAGAGACATACAGAGAGACACACACACAGACACACAGAGACAGAGACACAGAGACACATACAGAGACACACAGAGACAGAGAGACACACACAGAGACAGAGACACACACAGAGACACACACAGACAGAGAGACACACACAGAGACACATACAGAGACAGAGACACAGGGAGACACACAGAGAGAGACAAAGAGACAGAGACACACAGAGACAGAGAGAGACACAGAGACACAAAGAGACAGAGAGACACACAGAGACACATACAGAGACAGAGAGACACACACACAGAGGCACAGAGACACATACAGAGACAGAGAGACACACACAGATACACACACACAGAGAGACACACAGAGACAGAGGGACACAGAGACACATACAGAGACACACACAGAGACACATACAGAGACAGAGAGATACAGAGACACACAGAGACTCACACAGAGACACATACAGAGACAGAGAGATACAGAGACACACAGAGACAGAGAGACACAGAGACACATACAGAGACACACACAGAGACACATACAGAGATATACAGAAAGACACAGAGAGACACACACAGAGAGACAGAGACACACAGAGAGACACACAGAGACAGAGAGAGACAGAGACACACACAGAGACAGAGAGACACAGAGACACATACAGAGACACACAGAGAGACACAGAGACAGAAAGATACAGAGACACAGAGAGACACACACAAAGACAGAAAGATACAGAGAGACACAGAGACACACACAGAGACACATACAGAGAGACAGAGATACACACAGACACACACAGACACAGAGACTCACAGAGAGAGACACAGAGACACACAGAGAGACACACACAGAGAGACACAGAGACAGAGAAACACAGACACAGAGACACAGACACACGCAGAGAGATACAGAGACACAGAGAAAGAGAGACACACAGAGACACAGAGAGAGATAGAGACACACAGAGACAGAGAGAGACACACAGAGACAGAGAGACACAGAGACAGAGAGAGACACAGAGACACACAGACAGAGAGACACACAGAGACACAGAGAGAGACAGAGACACACACAGAGAGAGACACACAGAGACAGAGAGAGACACAGAGACACACTGCTAGAGACAGACACACAGAGAGAGACACAGAGACACACTGCTAGAGACAGAGACAGGGAGTGAGACACAGACACGAAGGTAAGAGACAAGGACACCAGAGTGAGACACGGAGACAGTTGTCTCTGTGTGTGTCTCTATCCCTGTCTCTCTCCGTTTGTATCTGTGTGTGTCTCTGTCTCTGTTTGTGTCTCTGTGTCTCTGTGTGTGTCTCTATCCCTGTCTCTCTCCGTTTGTGTCTCTGTATCTCTCTGTGTGTCTCTATCCCTGTCTCTGTCTCCGTTTGTGTCTCTGTGTGTGTCTCTCTGTGTATCTGTGTGTCTCTGTGTGAGTCTCTGTCTCTGTGTTTGTCTCTGTGTGCGTCTCTGTGTCTCTGTGTGTGTTTCTGTGTCTCTCTTTCTCCGTGTGTCTCTCTGTCTCTGTGTGTCTCTGTGTCTCTGTGCGTGTCTGTGTGTCTCTCTGTGTGTCTCTGTGTCTGCGTGTGTCTGTCTTTGTGTCTCTGTGTGTTTCTGTGTCTCTGTGTGTCTCTGTCTGTGTCCCTGTATGTGTCTCTGTGTCTCTCTCTGTCTGTGTCTCTCCGTGTGTGCATTCAAAGTGCACTTGCCCCCAGAGTCTGGTGAAGGCTACACAGGGGACCTTTGTCTTTGTGCGAGTCCAGCCGGAGACATGACGGAAGAGACACTCAGAGCCGTGGTGAAGATTGAAGCAGAACGTGAGGCTCACAGACTCACACAGAGACCCACAGACTCACACAGAGACCCACAGACTCACACAGAGACAGAGAGACCCACAGACCCACAGACTCACACAGAGACCCACAGACTCACACAGAGACACACAGACTCACACACACTCACACAGAGACCCATAGACTCACACAGAGACCCACAGACTCACACAGAGACTCACAGACTCACACAGAGACCCACAGACTCACACAGAGACCCACAGACTCACACAGAGACCCACAGACTCACACAGAGACACACAGACTCACACAGAGAGCCACAGACTCACACAGAGACACACAGACTCACACACACTCACACAGAGACCCACAGATTCACACAGACTCACACAGAGACCCACAGACTCACACAGACTCACACAGAGACCCACAGACTCACACAGACTCACACAGAGACACACAGACTCACACACACTCACACAGAGACCCACAGAGACACACAGACTCACACAGAGACACACAGACTCACATAGAAACACACAGACTCACACAGAGACCCACAGACTCACACAGAGACCCACAGACCCACACAGAGACCCACAGACTCACACAGAGACCCACAGACTCACACAGAGACCCACAGACTCACACAGAGACCCACAGACTCACACAGAGACCCACAGACTCACACAGAGACCCACAGACTCACACAGAGACCCACAGACTCACACAGAGACACCCAGACTCACACAGAGATACACAGACTCACACAGAGACCCACAGACTCACACAGAGACCCACAGACTCGCACAGAGACCCACAGACTCGCACAGAGACCCACAGACTCGCACAGAGACCCACAGACTCACACAGAGACCCACAGACTCACACAGAGACCACAGACTCACACAGAGACCCACAGACTCACACAGAGACACACAGACTCACACAGAGACACACAGAATCACACAGAGACCCACAGACTCACACAGACACCTACAGACTCACAAAGAGACACACAGACTCACACAGAGACCCACAGACTCACACAGAGACCCACAGACTCACACAGAGACCCACAGACTCACACAGAGACCCACAGACTCACACAGAGACCCACAGACTCACAGAGACCCACAGACTCACACAGAGACCCACAGACTCACACAGAGACCCACAGACTCACACAGAGACCACAGACTCACACAGAGACCCACAGACTCACACAGAGACCCACAGACTCACACAGAGACCCACAGACTCACACAGAGACACACAGACTCACACAGAGACACACAGACTCACACAGAGACACACAGACTCACACAGAGACCCACAGACTCACACAGAGACCCACAGACTCACACAGAGACACACAGACTCACACAGAGACCCACAGACTCACACAGACTCACACAGACCCACAGACTCACACAGAGACCCACAGACTCACACAGAGACCCATAGACTCACACAGAGACCCATAGACTCACACAGAGATTCACAGACTCACGCAGAGACCCAAAGATTCACACAGAGACCCACAGGGTAAAGTGTGGGTGACTCCCACTTCTTGGTAGTGGTGGTGGGGTAAAGTGCCAAACAACAGGGAGTGGCGGATGTGGGCCCATGTCCTTGACACCAGGACCTACCGTGGAGCTGATCTGCCCTTTGACCATCGACTAGTCATCTGTAAGATGCGCCTGCCATTCTTCCACTCCGGTGGTGGGTGTACACCTTGTAGGCCATTCCAACCTAAAGTGGCCTGGTCTCAGTTATCTGATGAAAGTTGCAAGCGAGAATTTCATCATCGCTTGCGGCTGGGATTGGCATTGTCCCCAACTCCTCCTGATGTCGAGGGTAAATGGGCGAGGTTTAGGACTGTGGCTCAAGTCGCTGCAATGGCTGCTTTGGTTACACGGTCCAGACCTCCCCAGAGACCCTGGCTGACAGAGGAGGTGTTCAGGCTGGCTGAGTAAAAGCGACAGGCCCACTCTCATTGTGTACAGCATCCCACGTCAGAGAATGAGGAGGCTTACCGCAGCCTTCGCTCGGAGGTGAGGAGAGCCGTGAGGTGCTGCAAGGATGGGTGGTGGTCACGGGATGCTGACTAGATCGAGTCTGCCTTAATGGCCCGCGATCACAAATCGCTCTTTAATTCTATAACGAAAAGTTACCTGCAGCGCTACACCTATTACCATCATTAGGGGAAAGAACGGTGATCCAATCTCCGACCCCCAGGAACAGGTTTGCAGATTTTCTGAGCATTTCTGTGAGCTCCTGGGGGAGGGGAAATCCCTCAGCCTGGAAAACATCATGGGACAAAGTGGGGATGACCCTGCTGAGGCTGCGGTGCCTCAAATATTGGAAAAAGTCACCCCCTGTGAGTGACTGGCTGAGGTGCCATCTGTTGAGAAAGTACTGAAGGCGACCCAGTGCCTGAGACCAGGAAAGGCACCGGGCAGAGATGATCTCCCAAGCGAAATGCTGAGGGAGGGTGGCGTTTGTGCATGACATCATAACAACAGTCTGGACCACTGGACGGGTTCTGCAGGATCTAAGGATGCCCTGGTGGTCCCCCTCTTTCAGAAGGGGGACCGCACAGACTGTAACAACTACAGGGGCATCTCACTCCTCAGTGTGCCAGGAAAGGTCCTGGCAAGGATTATTCAACATCGCCTTGCCAGGCACGCTGAGGAGAGGCTTGCGGAGCCCCAGGAAAGGGCGGTCCTGCACGGATGCCATATTTTCTGTCCGTCTATTCCAGTGGAGGTGTAGGGAATTCCAACAAGAATTACATCTCTGCTTTATTGACCTGGTCAAGGCCTATGATACCTCTGTGGAGGAGGCTCGTGAAGGACGCTGCTGGGCAGTTGGAGGCAGTCGCCCTCCAACAACAACGGAGGGCGGAGGAGCGACGCTCACAACAACGAGCGGAGCGTCGGGTGGCTAAAGCACAGCAAGTTGGCACAGTAGGGGGCACAGGTGGTGCACCAGCCAGTCGTCTCAGTCAGTCGACCCGTGGCACCTGGGTCTGCCCCGTGACCTCCTCCCAGCGGGCGTTTGCACTTCACGTGGCCTCAATGTGCACATGTCCTGGCACAAGCGTTGTGGTGACGTCACTGCCAATTAGTGGCGAATAGCGGTTGTTGTTGTTTGGGTAAAGTGTGGGTGACTCCCACCTCTTGGTGGTGGTGGTGGGGTAAAGTGTGGGTGACTCCCTCTTGGTGGTGGTGGTGGTGGGGTAAAGTGTGGGTGACTCCCTCCTCTTGGTGGTGGTGGTGGGGTAAAGTGTGGGTGACTCCCTCCTCTTTGTGGTGGTGGGGTAAAGTGTGGGTGACTCCCTCCTCTTGGTGGTGGTGGTGGGGTAAAGTGTGGGTGACTCCCTCCCTTTCGTGGTGGTGGTGGTTGTGGAGTTGCATCTGAGTTGCGTCTGAATTGCTGTGTCTGAGTTGCCGTGTCTGAGTTGCCGCGTCTGAGTTGCGTCTGAGTTGCGTCTGCGTGCCGCTGTCGTTGCCAAGGAGACGTCAGCGTGGGTCCTGTCCGGGAGACATCGCGGCCGCTGAGGGTGAAGGCCGAACAGCAGGAGGGAGGCTCCGGTGAGGTCCCACAGACTCACACAGAGACCCATAGACTCACACAGAGACCCATAGACTCACACAGAGACCCATAGACTCACAGAGACACATAGACTCACACAGAGACACATAGACTCACACAGAGACCCATAGACTCACAGAGACCCATAGACTCCCACAGAGACCCATAGACTCACCACACAGAGACCCATAGACTCACACAGACCCATAAACTCACACAGAGACCCACAGACTCACACAGAGACCCATAGACTCACACACAGAGACCCATAGACTCACACAGAGGCCCATAGACTCACACAGAGACCCATAGACTCACACAGAGACCCATAGACTCACACATACCGATAGACTCACACAGAGAGACCCCTTGGACTCACACAGAGACCCATAGACTCACACAGAGCCCCACAGACTCACACAGAGACTCATAGACTCACACAGAGACCCATAGACTCACACAGAGACCCATAGACTCACACAGAGACCCATAGACTCACACAGAGAGACCCGTAGACTCACACAGAGACCCGTAGACTCACACAGAGACCCATAGACTCACACAGAGACACACAGACTCACACAGAGACCCATAGACTCACCACACAGAGACCCATAGACTCACACAGAGACCCATAGACTCACACAGAGACCCATAGACTCACACAGCGACCCACAGACTCACACAGAGACCCACAGACTCACACAGAGACCCATAGACTCACACAGAGACCCATAGACTCACACAGAGACCCATAGACTCACACAGAGACCCATAGACTCACAGAGGCCCATAGACTCACACAGAGACCCATAGACTCACCACACAGAGACCCATAGATTCACACAGACCCATAAACTCACACAGAGACCCACAGACTCACACAGAGACTCATAGACTCACACAGAGACCCATAGACTCACACAGAGACCCACAGACTCACACAGAGACCCACAGACTCACACAGAGACCCATAGACTCACACAGAGACCCATAGACTCACACAGAGACCCATAGACTCACAGAGGCCCATAGACTCACACAGAGACCCATAGACTCACACAGAGACCCATAGACTCACAGAGGCCCATAGACTCACACAGAGACCCATAGACTCACCACACAGAGACCCATAGATTCACACAGACCCATAAACTCACACAGAGACCCACAGACTCACACAGAGACCCATAGACTCACACACAGAGACCCATAGACTCACACAGAGACTCATAGACTCACACAGAGACCCACAGACTCACACAGAGACCCATAGACTCACACAGAGACCCACAGACTCACACAGAGACTCATAGACTCACACAGAGACCCATAGACTCACACAGAGACCCATAGACTCACAGAGAGACCCATAGACTCACACAGAGACCCATAGACTCACACAGAGACCCATAGACTCACAGAGACCCATAGACTCACACAGAGGCCCATAGACTCACCACACAGAGACCCATAGATTCAGTTTAACACGTAGGCTTTCGCGACCAATATTATTCATAATAAAGGTTTTTGGGTTAGATCGCGTTTATTTATAAATGTGTCGTAACCCTCCACCACCCGACACGGCCAATCAGCAAAAAAAGTGTCACGTTGACAAAAGACAAATAATTCACTACTTTAGCCGACCGGTGTGTTGAAGAGTGAATCCACATTTACAGTTTGAGTACGACGTTTCGCTGGTAAATACATCCAGCATCATCGGGCAATTCGCCAGAATGGTAAAGCCCTCGCTTGCTCCCGGTTTTATATAGAGCAGCAGGGTGCCGTCATCACTTAACTCATATCAGGTGCAGTGATTAGAGGCGGAGGGGGGGTATTGTAATTATATAATCGATTAGTAATCAGTCATTGGTTATGATTAGTAATGAGTTGTAGATTAGTAATTATTTAAATCAAAATGTAACGTGTATTATTAAATAATACACATTACATTTTAAAGAATTACTAATCTACAACTCATTACTAATCATAAGCAATGACTGATTACTAATCGATTATATAATTACAATACCCCCCCTCCGCCTCTAATCACTGCACCTGATATGAGTTAAGTGATGACGTCACCCTGCTGCTCTATATAAAACCGGGAGCAAGCGAGGGCTTTACCATTCTGGCGAATTGCCCGATGATGCTGGATGTATTTACCAGCGAAATGTCGTACTCAAACTGTAAATGTGGATTCACTCTTCAACACACCGGTGGGCTAAAGTAGTGAATTATTTGTCTTTTGTCAACGTGACACTTTTTTTGCTGATTGGCCGTGTCGGGTGGTGGAGGGTTACGACACATTTATAAATAAACACGATCTAACCCAAAAACCTTTATTATGAATAATATTGGTCGCGAAAGCCTACGTGTTAAACTGACTAACCTCTATGGGGAGGATACTTTTCTTATAACCAGAAAATTGGAGAAGCTTCGCATTAAGCGGATGAAATTGATATCTTCACTGGCGTTCCTCAAAAGGTGCAGAGATTCAAAGGTAATACCAAACGCAGTTAAAATAACACGTCACATAAAGTCTTCTAAAGCTAACCAAATACTACACAAAGCTAGCAAATTATTATTAATAGAGAGAATACAGCACAATAGGAGTGAATTATCTTACATTTCGGAATCGCTAAAGCAGTTACACTTAGATATAAGCAATAGTGTATCTATGCATTATTGGAATATAATCGATAACATAACACAACAATCGGCTGATAATGTGTTTAAATTAACAAAAACTAACCAAATTAATAAATTTTCTAGACTACATAATAAACAAATCCCTACTGAAAACCAAAAATTTAAAAACAAAACTGTACTGAAATTGACTAACACTGTATTAACCGGTGACATGGTCTCTATCCTTTCTAAAGGCCTTAACTTTGCCGTTACCCCACGCACAATTCCAGTGGATGAGATAATTGCTGAGGTAGAATCAGCAGTTAGACTCCTTCCACATAATGAGGCAGAGATGACTAGACATGAGGTTGCTAAAATAATTGAGAATAGCAAAGTTCCAAAAGTAAATATTAGCTCTAACGAGGCAAAAGCCTTAAGAGAGCTGCGTGTAAACAAGGATATCCAAATCCTAGCAGCTGATAAAGGCCGCACTACTGTAGTGATGTCACGAGCCGATTATGATAATAAAATTAGAAATTTACTAGAGGAAAGTACCTACATTAAAATTAAACGAGATCCAACTAATACTTTAGAATGTAAGCCCACTGCAATAATTGCAAATTCATTAATCCCTAAAAATGAGCAATACCTAATTAAGCCAAGGGCCTCAAAACCACCTAGACTCTATGGGCTACCAAAGATTCATAAAATCGGCATCCCATTACGACCCATAGTCAGTACAATTGGCTCTGCCACATATCAATTAGCAAAATATATAACCAAACAAATACAGCCCTACATCGGTAAGACATCTTCATTCATAAAAAATTCAGAACATCTTGTGAATGTGATTAAAGATATTAAACTTACTCCTGATGATATTCTGGTAAGTTTTGATGTGATTTCTCTATTCACTAAGGTTCCAGTGGACGAATCGCTTAAATTACTTGATACACTAGTAAAGAATACCGGTTTACCAAAAGATATTCCGAAACTTGCTGGCCATTGTTTAAATAACACTTACTTCTTATGGAGAGGGGATTTCTTGAAACAAAAGGAAGGAGCAGCAATGGGTTCTCCTTTATCCCCTGCTATAGCAAATTTGTACATGGAAATCTTTGAAATAAGAGCACTTGCCTCGAGCACATTAAAACCATCCTTTTGGTTTAGATATGTGGATGACACTTTGGTTGTCTGGCCACATGGTAAAGATACACTTAATGATTTTCTAAATCATCTCAATGCACAAAATCCGGCCATCCAGTTCACCATGGAAATGGAGGTGAATAACACACTCCCATTCCTAGATATTTTGCTTGGACATGGCCTGAACGGTAAAATAACACACAGCGTTTATAGAAAGCAAACGCACACTGATGCCTATCTGAATGCAGAATCACATCATCATCCAGCTCAGAAATCCTCTCTTATCAAGACGCTCATACATCGGGCTAAAACAGTGTCAGATGGTGAGAGTCTAGTGAGAGAGATTAAACACGTTAAAGACGCACTACGACAGAATGGCTACAATAATGCTCAAATTAACAGAGCACTGAATGCCAAATCACGATCGCAAAGCAATACTGCTGAAAGCGACCAGATTGTTAAAACAATAAAAATTCCATATATCTCAGGAGTAACTGACAAATTAGCCCGTGTTTTGCAAAAGCAAAACATTACAGTAAGATTTGGTACAGTACACAAAATTCAAAAACTAGTATCTTGCACTAAAGACGCATTACCTAAACTATCAACAGACGGTGTATATCGGATTCATTGTTCATGTGGCAGCTGCTACATTGGGCAGACGGGACGTAACATCAGCGTAAGACTAAAAGAACATCAGAGAAATATTAAATTATTTCAAACACAACTGTCGGCAGTGGCAGAACATGCTTGTCAACAAGGACACTGAATTAATTTTGACAATGTTGCAGTGGTGTGTAAAACTAATTATTACTGGCAAAGACTAATTAGAGAATCCATTGAAATTGAGAGGAACAAGAATAACTTTAATCGCTCTGACAGCTACAGGCTTAGTGCGGCCTGGAAGCGTATTATTAAATAATACACATTACATTTTGATTTAAAGAATTACTAATCTACAACTCATTACTAATCATAAGCAATGACTGATTACTAATCGATTATATAATTACAATACCCCACCCTCCGCCTCTAATCACTGCACCTGATATGAGTTAAGTGATGACGTCACCCTGCTGCTCTATATAAAACCGGGAGTAAGCGAGGGCTTTACCATTCTGGCGAATTGCCCGATGATGCTGGATGTATTTACCAGCGAAACGTCGTACTCAAACTGTAAATGTGGATTCACTCTTCAACACACCGGTGGGCTAAAGTAGTG